TGATCTGTTAAATGATACAAACACTGAACATGAAGCAATTAAGAATGAGAAAAATAAGCCTTTGAACAGAGATTATTTTATTTCTCAAGACACTGAGTGCATGTGATGTTTTCATTCAAACATCTTATACACACAATGTATATTAACAGGACTGTACTTGGACATTCATGGAGTGCTGCATACATTTAGGCAATGAAAACACAGAAACAATGTGCTCTCCTTCTTTATTGTTTTGCTAGCAGTGTAGATAATCAATAATGTAGGTAATTGTCCCGATTCAATGAAACCATAAAAGAATGGAAGCTTTACAAGTTAATTGATTTTACTCTACATGCTAGAGAATTTCATGAAGGCATGAATTTTTTTTTATGGAAATTTATATAATATTTAAAAAAACATTTATTCCTGGAAGATGCTCATGTTTCATTCAAATCTAAAGAATATACTTTCATTTGCTACAGAAGCCATTTGGTAATACTGAGGCCATTACTCACAAGTTATGCATCTGTTAATGCATTGTGATTGCTCAAGTTGTTTTCAAAAGTCATTCAAAATGTAGAAAACTTATAAAATAATTTTGCCAGTGACAGTCAGTGTTCAGCAGGGTTATGCGGTTCATGATGTACAGACTGATAAATATTTAGAAACACAGTAATTTTGAGTTGTCATCAATTAACAATATCATTATTAACAGCTTCATGAACATTTCCCAGAGTAATTAAATACCCTAAAGTGCTCTTTTGAAATAGATCAAGGTTGAGGCATTGTTCGTGAGCAGACATTTACATTGATTTAGCATGCCTATGAGCAAAGAAGCAGTGATAGAGTAAGACAATCATGAATGAGCTAAAGTAATGCTATTCAGTAGGTTTCAGAGAACGATGAGTTAAAAGATGTGCAAATTACTGTAATTAGCATATACATATAATTCATTTCCAACAGGTAAAGCTCACAACAGGTCATGCCCCAAATCAACATATTTTTTCAAAGTCTGTTTAAATAATTAAATGCATTATATTGTTTTTGTTTTTTTTACAAATGGTACTGAAGTAAAACATAGAATAATTGTACCTAATCACTAAGAATTTAGGTTGTATGATAGAAAGAAACAAATTCATGGTTATTAGCAACAAGTAGCATACTTGTACACTGGTGGGGTAGCTTTTTTTATTGATGACTAAATATTGAATAAACTTATAGTTATGGTAATGATTAAAAATGATCATCAAAAAAAAATATTTTATATTTTAGAGTTCTTGCTGGTTTCCATTTGGAGCACAGATAAATAATCACATTTTTTTGTTTAAATTTGACGCATCGATAATGTTATCGCACATCCACACAAAAGTACTAGTTATTTCGAACTTCGATAGCGTGCATGCGGAGCTGTCATCCACATGTGTTGTCTATGTCACTATAAGCCATGTGTCCGTGTTCGGCTGTCAGCCAGACATCGCAGTTCTCGTGGTCACTGTAGACCTTCAAGCTCAAGGACAATAATTCTTCCGCAAACACACGCACAAATTGTAAACCTGTATTTTATATCGTATCAACATGGATTCGAATAATCAAAGTTATTAAAATTCCCCAGAAGTAACCATCGAAAATTGTATTGTATTAGAAATCAGACGGTCCGAGTGTGCGAAATACCCTTGGCTCGGAAAATTAAAAGTTTCCACTGTATAAACATACGAGTTTTACATATGTCACAGCTCCGTTTCAGATGAGTGACTTAAGCTTCTCACCTCAGCTTGTTTCCTGACATTGTTATCAGGAGACAAGAGATTGCCCAACAAGGTTTCGAACTGCTGCTGCTCCTGTTCCGCCATGTTGAAAATGTTGCTGACTTATGCTCATGTTCGTTAACCTTTGACCTATTTAATTTGGCGCGGGATTTGCCTGCCTCGTAATTTTATTTTCACAAGCGCGTCGTTTTTATTAGTGTTGGCAATCTGAAAATCGTGCTCAAAACAGTTAGTATAAGTTATTTAAAAATCCTGTTGATGCATATCAATGTTAAGACGACAATATAAAAACACATTGTACATGCTTTCTTATTTTGTCTGGGAAAAAGGACGTGTCACGCTCTCGCGGTAGACGGCGAGAAAAAGCGAGATTTCGCATTCCGACCTATTTCAACATGGCGGACCAGGTAAATTTTAGTTTTCAGTTTTGTTGTGTCTGTCTATTTGTGTCTCCTCGGCTTCACATGATTTCACGTAAGTTGTATTCTCTTGCGACAACTGATAAAGATCACAACAGTTTCGATAAAACTACTGGTGTGATATTGGTGTTTGGTGATTTTTGACAATAATACCGACTGTGTTCAACAAACAGGGAAGCGTCGGTGATATTTTTGTTTTCAATGATGCGAAATCAACATATATTTTCAGCCCTTAGATTCGAGCTTTATTGTCCGACATGGTGGTTTACACTATTATAATATTTTGGCGATGTCGCTGTTGTAAATACCATTGAAATGACATTTTACCAAGCATCGTCGATCACTGTTTCATTAACTCATGCTCGTGAAGAGTGCCACTATCATATTCAATAACACATTTAAAGTAATGATTTATTATTTTATTTTCAAGTACTCTTGTCAGATCTTTTACCGAAAATAATGAATATCTCTAGTCCAAACATTCTCAGCCAAATATACCCCTAAATGCTCTCTTTTTTTGTTGTTGCAAAAAGAGTGCCTCGACATCTTTGTTGCTTTGTTTATTATTATGGAAATGAATTAACAAACTATAGACAATTGTATGTTTATTTTTTGGATTGGGCTTGTGTTACAATGTTAGATGACATGAATGCATCAATGAATGAATGGCTTCACAGTAATCATTATATCAGTTTATGTGTGCATTAACTCATAGACCTTACAGTACTGAAGGGTATATTATTAACTTCATCAATACTAGTAATTAACTAGCCATATTTTCACCATGCCATGAGACCATCAAAAATGTTTATCTAGCCCTCTTGTGTTGTCAGAGCAGCTGATATTTACAAACACTCCTGCTATTACAGACACATTATTGCGAAATTGCTTACACAGTCAGTGATAACCTAACTTTGATTTTCAGCAGACAATGATTTAACCAAATCAATTATAGAATTTAGATTTTTGCAAATAAATCAAATTTCTGGTCATTATATTAGTATTTTGGTTCATTTTTGTTTTGTCCAAAACAGTGTGCATTAATTTGCTGCACCCATCATGATCACTTGTCCATGCTCTGAATCCATCTAAAAATTGCTGGGTATAGGTGTCCAGGGTTGCAGATGACTACTAAAAAAAGATTTAACCCAAGTTTAATTTTTGCTGCTAGAGTGGACATGATTTTATGGTATTGGTGAAGACAAATCCTCACTAAAGTTATTGAGAAATTTGCTCTGCTACAAAATTTCATGATTTTTAGTGACATGCAAAATTGACAAAACTCTTATGAAAAGAATTGCTTTCCCATGATACACTGCAAAACCAATATTGTGGCTAATTCATTTCTTTCCTGTCAAAAAAAGCAGTTGTCACACAGTAAATGATGTGCCATGTCAATAACCATAGTCTATTTAATTTTTCACTTCGTAGAGTACAAGTGAAAATACTCCGGAAAGTCCAAAAGAAGGTACTACTCCTACTGACCTATGGAATTGCTGTCTCATGGGACCAGATAAGATGGATGTGGTGCCTTCGAGTGAGGATCAACAGTTATTGACTTTGTCGTCGACACAAACTTATGATGGTCAGGCTGTTGCAGGATTGGAAGCAGGTAACAGCTTAGCTCCAGGTATGAGAAGACCATTCTATCAAGTGAAATTGTTGCAAAATTACTTATCTTTAAAAAAGTGACAATTCAGGCCAAACAACAATTTCAAGTACTGTAGAATAGTTTATTTTAGCTGGAATTAATTTTCGCTGAAAAGACTTTTTGGGTGTTTTCTATGGAATTTATTTTCACTGATTTTGAATGAATGTAAAATATAGAAAAAAATGCATATTCACTGGATTTTATTCTTACTGAAAATAAAGTATTTCACAGTACTTGAATTCAGTCACTTTTTTACTTTATCTATGATCGTAATTTTTCTGTTTTATTTTTTTCAGTTTCTGATTATCCGAGTTCCATGTATGGGCCATATTTACCTGATGAAGTGGAACATTTGAGTACAGATGTGAAAGGTAATTTTCAAATATTCTTTAAAGCGGGGGTGTCGTCACCTGCGCATGCGTCAGATGGCCTTAGCGAGTCATTGTTTACAAACAAAGCATCTACCCATGAGCCTTTGCGTTTTTAGAGTGTGTTGTTATCGTCGCTTCGAACTCAGTTCCTGTGTGTGCGCAGGTGACAACACTCCCGCTTTAAAATCTACTATCCAAAACATATTTCTCTCCAGAGCATTGTAGAATTGGGGTCCCCTCTTCTCTAATTTTGTTAGGATACATTATGATGTTTCCTTAGGGGCACCCTGCTCTAGTACCATTAAAGTCCTATTACAA